AGGAGGCGGAAGAGGGATTGCAGCGCTGGTGGGGCATGACCCACCGTCAATTCTTTCGGCATTTACACGTCGCCTTTCGCCGGTTTGCTGGTGGAGGGGGAGGAAATCACGAATCTTACATGCGTTTTCTTTTGCGACATCCATTTTACATCGAGGCTTTGATCGCTCGAGAAATTGGCTCAGGCAACGCTGCGCTACGGACGGCGCTGGCAGTCATGGCCACTCGACCTGCGGGGCGACCTGCTATGACATTGTGCTATATCCCGACCAAATTGGGAGCGCCCCAGATGACAAGCGCGAGCCGGTTATCTCCTAAAGTACACTTAGCTCTTCAATACCTACCTCGCCAGGGATTTCTTTCAGGTTAGCTATGGGTATTCACAAGCTGCCCCCAGTGCCTTTTGCTGACAGTTCTGCGCTGGTGCACGTTCTGACAACGACGTGAATCCAGACTTCCACTGTTGCGAATCCGAAGGCACTGCTTAAAACATGCGATATAAGTGGGCCACCACCTCCGAGGATCATCTAATGCCTGAAGTCCACTAAACCTCAAGTGGGGTTCGACCAAGACATGGCGAAGTTTGAAGAACTGGCTGACGTACCGACGCAAGACGACGACGCCAGAGAAACTCCGGCAGCCGAGCCACCACTGGAAGACAGACGGCTTCCTGTTATTGATGAGGAATCAGTAGCGGACCTTGAGGCACATATTATGGATGTGTAGCACACAGGACTGCAGGAGGAAACAGAGCCACTGGAGGCAACTCCAGTGGGCGACCTCTACATGTTATCATCACCGACGGCCGCGCGCTGGTTGAAGTAGCTGAAGAACAGCGGGGGCACCTGCCTACGCGGGGTCCCCCACGCGATATCGACGCCACGGAGACATATCATGTCCCTTCTGTGCCCCACGGACGAAGACAACACTTTGACGAGCATGGCCAATTATTAGAACTCTGCTTCACTGCAGACATGCCAAAGGTAGTCCTACCCGAACAACGACACAATATATTAAATCTTCGACCGCGTGACCACTATGCGAGTATATGTGACCGCTGCCGCTAAACGAGCCGCAGTCGTCAAGGAGGACGACCTCCTCGCGAATGCTGACATCCTGGCGAATCCAGTCAAGGTATTTAACGCATTATGCACTGAACTCGACATGGTTGGACAACGATTGTCGGCAAATGTGGAAGCTCGCCAAAGACGAGAAGGACGAGATGGAGCGGGCCATTGGACTGCGCCAAGCACTTCGGGATTACATGCGCCTCGAAGCCTTCGACGCGGAGACTCCCCCAGGGGCGGCGCGGCGGTCAAGTCAGAGATTACTCGCGAGCACGGCAGCGTACAAGAAGCCATGGATCATTGTTTCCCTCTTGACATCAACATGGCCATCCTGAAGGGATTAACCTTTAGGGGATCTGCTGAAGCGACCGGTGAAAAGGAACGTGCGGCGCGCTTTACCTTGTCGCCTGGATCAACATCCGCGCATAGATCCCCCCCAGGGTCTGCGCGCTACGATGAGTCGAAGCACTGCTTGCAGCGACTCAAACCAGGCACCGGCGCCAAGGGCGCGCCAAGAGCCTTCTCACAGGGTCAGACAGACCACGAGAGGGTTTGGTTTCAGCCCCACGCCCCACGACGCCGGGTTCGAGACAAGTTCCAACTTTCTCGCAGCCAGGCGCATGGGTGATATCAATAAGGCCGGCACTGAGGACACCGTCGACAGGTGCGGCAAGTACGTTAAGGGCACTTTTGGCACGTGTACACTCAACGCACGTATGCCAATTGTGTTTTGAGGTACATAAAGGTTTTGGACGGTGATGTTGCACTTGATCAAGACGAACTTCTAAAACAGCTCCGTCCCATACAACATCCTGAACTCACCGGCGCAGACGCTGATGCCAAGGCATTAAAGATGGTCGCTCACATGTCGTTTAGCCTCAGCGGCGCTTTGGCTTACGCCTGAAGCACACATGTGTGGTCGATGGCATATGGTGCATCCCTACAGCGTGTCCAAGAATCGACCAACATGCAAGCGCGACCACAGAACGCGATTATCAGAAAGTTGCAGGCTTGCCTTAAGAAGATCGATGACTCCAACCGGCGGGGTCGACCTGCGCGGCGGCTCCTGCTATCGGCGTCTTAGTGGAGATGCCGAGGACCAGGTCAAAGGCTATGGCATTCGCGGGGCAAACTTGCTACGGCGTGGAAACACGCTGGCCGGGAAGCCTGTCGTCCATCCTACCGACGCGCACTGCAAGTCTCACCGCTTGCAGGTCCGCTTGGGCTACTCAGTGGAAACAGTAGCAGCAACCCGTAACTTGGATGATTGCTATCCCACGATCGCCACTTTGCACCAACTCCACGCAGGGCTCCCGGCACCCACGCAGTTGAAATATATCCTGGAGATGGGCGGCTGGAGCATTGAGGTCACTTTGACCATCGATGCGGGGCTTGTCTTCAAGTCATATATGCTCTTGCAGGGCATGGAGGGAAATCGATCCCTCAAGCACGACTTACAACGCCATATTCAACACAGGGTTGGCCAGACCAAATCGTCTTTGCCGCTTGAGGAACAATCGCCTGCAAGTTGATTTGCCTGCGATGCAGCTTGCTTGAAAGGGCATTTGCTTGCTGGTCAACCTTCCTGCTTCGGCCCGATTGCTGCCCCCTTCCTTTGTGTATATAGCGTTTACTGTATAGCGGGCGGCGGATTCACGCTTCATCTCCCCCCCCGACTGTAAAGGAGACTGGGGCAACGGCGAGAGATAGCGAGCGTTTGTCCGCGGCTGTTTGTTTTCAAACGGCCGGCCGCCAACATATGACCGTGCCTCATCGCGAGGCACACTACTTGCCACTGGGGCCCGCAACATTTATCGCTTGACATGGCTCGTCGTTCCCGCGACGATCTCTTACTTCTGGGACTATCGCTTCTACGATACAACAGAGCTGACTATGTGTTTTGCCTTAGGCGCAGCTTCTGGTTGGGCCTCCCCCTTCAAATTTCGGGGACGCGAGCGTGGTGCAAGTTGCCAGGGATCGTGGCGCCGGGGATGCGAACACAGTGTAATTTAGGAAGGGATTGTTGCGTCGGTCGGGAGCGCGAAGCTCAATTATTTTTTCGTGCCCCACGTCCCCGCCGGAATTCAGACAACGCGATTCGGGGAGGGTCGCCGGGTCCTTTTTCGGCTTCGCCCCCCTTCGCGCGGGTTTCAACAATTCACAGTACGAAGCAACAAGCAGGAGTGTAACATTGGATATTGGAAATTGGAACTGGCGCAGGGAGCCGCAAACCTCATCTTCGCAGCCTGATGACCCCACAAGTGGGCTCGCGGATAATACCATACATCCTTCGGCAACATTGAAAACATTCGTTTGTCCTTCAGCAACCGTTTTCACAGTCCTTGCGACCTCACCGATTATAAGCGGACGAGTTTCAGACTTCATCCCGGCGGCCTGCCCACATTGATTGTTGTCCCGTTGGGGTTCCCCGCCGCCCAGGGAGGTGACTAGCTCTACTTGGGATAGTATGTGCGATTTTGACCGCATATTTGTAGCAATGCGTGTGCGGGGCCTCGCCTGCTGCACTGAAAAAGCGCGCGCGCGCGCTGGACCAGGACATCGATGTGACTTGTCTCGTCGATTTGAGCTTGGGGTACATCGAAAGGTTGCCCCCGAAACGTCAAAGTACACCTCTAGCCAGTTAGCATCCGATTTCCAGAAATGGTTTGCCTCGACTTGGAGTAGATCGAGCTCATGGAAAACATGTCTTGAAGCTCTAAACGCGCCAATCATTACAATGTCATCCTGAGACCGAAAGTTTTGTTGGAATTGGAGGTTGACGGTGTACTACCCAGCCTTCATGCCCGTGATCAGGGCAAGGTCGGCCTTTTTCCCATAGTGGGGACCATGCCAAATCTTCTGACCACGCGCCACAGACTCTTGGAAACCTAGGAGATTGGGCAACTTGGGTGCTCAAGAGTGAACCAGAAGATTCTGTTATTGTGAGAGATCTGAAAAAAATGTGCCAGGATAGTCGGGGACTTCCTGGGGCTAGGTCGAGTTGCACATTAGGTATTTTGGGATCCCTGGGCCATCCATGTTTAGTCTCGGGGCAGCTTGCAGCAGCATCCGTGCGGTCGTGGGCCGTCTTGGGGCCGAAACAGGCGCTGGGAAGCAATTGTATGAGGGACTCTTCCATTTCCGGTCTACTACAAGGAGGCGTTCCAAGAATATTGTAGATGTGATCATCTCTATCCATGTACTTGCTGCAGTTCTTTGCTCCTGGGTGCCCTCAGCTGTCCCCGGATAGCCTTTGATGTGTTCAGCCACAGTGGTTGCATGGGACGTGTGAGGGATTGCCGTTGTCTTGGAAGCCACTTCATGTTTCGGCGTCTCGTTGGCCCTAATGTTTGTCGGACGGTCATGTGGGTGACGTGAATGGCCAGGAGAGCGAAGGCCGAGAATGGGTTTCAAGTTTGCCGTCGCCGTCTCTCTCTCTCTCTCTCTCTCCACCATCTCCTCAAACTCTTTTTCATCGTCGTCTTCTTCGTCATCCACGCGCGCCTCCCAGCCACTCATGCCTCCATCCTCTTGCCGCCTCCCTACCCCTTGCATGCGGATTCCCCTCCCGCCTCCCCTCCCTCCCTTCCTCCCTCTTCTTCCTTTTCTTGTTCTTAGTTCTTATCCTTCCTTCGCATCACGTCCCTCCGCGTCTTCCCCTTTCTTCTCCTCTGTCGCCTTGTGGCCCCCGCTTCATTGCAACATACGTCTCTCCCATGATCCTTTTTCACATCGCCGCGCGCCCGGAAGAATCCCGCGACCCTCTAGCGATTTCAATCGGGATCGGGCTCGAGGGGCCGTCTCCATCGGCCGCCCCTCGCCGCAAGAGCTCTCAGGGTACGTTCGCGGCCTCTCTGGTCTGTTTTCCGAGGCTCGATCTGTTTTTGACGCGTGTGCTTCTGAGGCTTGCCCTCCGATGCCCCGCGGCGCAAGAGGTGCGCACGGCCTCGCAGGAGGCGTCGAGGGCCACGTTTCGGTCCTTGCAGGACCAGATCCAGGCAGCCCAGCACTCGCACCCCGCCGCCAGCCCTCGTTGATGGCCAGGCAAGGGTGGTGTTTTGGGTGGCGGGGCGCGGGAGAGGGATGGGGATCGAAGAGAGCACACATACACAAACAAAATACTCGTGCATTTTCGTAGGCACGCGTGGGTTGCTGTGGTAGGCGCTGCCCCTTCCACCCCATTAGCTCACCGGCCCCATGGGGTCAAGTGCCGACCCAAGAAATCCCAGCGGGCCGTCGAGTAGTTTTTTTGTTCCCCCTTCTCGGGAAGGCGAGGATGAGAGCGACGGCAAGGGGAGCTGGCAGGGTGTTGGGGTCGTTCGCCTCTTTGTAGCATGTTTGCGGCCTCGTGGGGATGTCCTGGGAACTCTAACGGGCATCCCTGTGATATCGGAGGCCATCTTGGGTGGGAGGACCGAAATGTCACTTCGAGTTCCCCCTCTTGGGCCTCCCCTGGGGCCACCTCGGGAACCGGGGCGTTCTAGGGGCGCACCATTGGCAGTCACGAGCGTTAGTTTAGAGTTTAGACATATGTGTTTTCACAAATGTTTGTCACTTGTATCGTCCCCAGGTCCTCCAAGATATCCGGGCCTGAAGATCATCTTAGACCATGTTGGAAATGCGACTTCCCCATGCGTTCCCGATGCCGCGGGAAAAGTAGCACGCAGCACCCCAGAGGTCATTCGCCAGGCCTCAGGAAGTCCCTGAGTTTGGGGTCTGGGACCCCTGAAGAGCATTGACAGACCGCCGTACTAGGAATTCGAAGGGACCTGAGGACACTCAATCTGTGTATGCGGCACTGTACCGTATCATCGTGTTGTGCCAGTTGGTCGGCGACGTGATGATCACAACGCCCGTCTAAAAGTTTTGCACATGTTCATGTTGTTCGTTGAGGTTTGCCAGGCATTTCGTTGCGGTTTGCCCTTGCCACGATGCTCGCCGAGGCTAATTCGGGTTCATCGGGGCGTCTCGGCACGATGCTGCTAATGGAGTGATGTCTTCCCGTGTTGCGAGCTTTTGCCAATACTTCACGTGCGTATCTCGATTCTGCCGATTCTCATTCCTCTAATGTTGACCATCTTTATGCCGCCACTGCCTGACTGGCCCCCTTTCCTTTCGAATTTCGCTCCTCTGTTTCAGATTGCCCTGTCTTGCATGATCGGCGGATTTCTGGCCATCCAGGGCGTTGCGCAGCGACAGAGGGAGGAGCAACAGGAGGAGAGCTCACATACCATGAAGACGATACGGAGCAATATGCAAGAGTAGGAGCAGCATGGGAAGGAGGATCAGGAGGAGTTGGAACAGGAATGTGAACAAGTGTCGCGGAGAAGGCCTTCCCCCTTCCCCTCCTGACCTCTTGCGCCCCCCCCTCCCCCGTTGCCCTCCTTCCCTTTCATCCCCTTCCCCTTCCTCAAGAACCCGTTCTCCCCCTTCTCCCAATTTGATTTCCCCAAAATCCCGTCAGCTGGACAACCCCCCCTCCAGCCTCCAACCTCATCTTCCCTTTCACCCCCCCCCTCTCCCTGGGCCATCACTTGGATCCAGATTCTGAGGGCGCCAGCTGAATTCTGACTCCGGTGCCACGCCAGGACCTGGTTCCAGTGCCCTTGGGTTCTCGCTCCAGGTGTGTGACTCAGTGGCCCTCTCCGCCCCGGGAGGTGCTCCTCCGAAGGAGCCTCCCCCGAAGAGGTGGCCCTCATGAAAGGAGGCGCCCCTCTGGACGCAGAGATCCTACGAATTTCTTTATCCGTAGGGGTTTCGCCCATTGCCGCCGGCCCCAGCGCTGTCGTGAAGCAATGTCGGAACTTCACGCGAGGGCCAAGATCGTACGTTACGGCTTGCATAGCAAAAGTGACAAATAAGTCGAATTCTGTTTGTTCGCATTGCGATATTGCTGACGATCGTGGCTTCGGGACGCAAACATAGTGTGATTGAATAGCGATCGTAGTCTTGGGGACGCCAACGCAGCGTTATTTACAAAAGGATCGTGTCCTCGAGGACGCGAACAGTTTTTTCATGATCAACAACCCACACCCATACCACCTTCGGAATCTTCGAATCTGACCCCCCTCGCCATGGTGGCGCTTAGGGACATTCGGGACAGGGACTTCCGGGTCATTGTAGGGCGCGGGCCACGTCACGCACAATGCGCACCACCGTAGGTCTCGAGCCGAGGCGATTGAAGACACGTCTTCGCCAGCGAACGAATGCGCGGGCCTACTTGAGCCGTTCTGGGGGCGCCATGGGCCCCTCTCGACGGCTTCGGGACCGCGTCGGGGTGATCTCGGCAGCCCACTTGCGCCATCTTGGACGCCGTGTGACCGGCGAGCCGAAGATGCGAACATATTGCAACATTGTAGATTTCTGAATGCATCTCCCAGTCCACCTGCGTGTTGGGACCTCGCTGTTAATCCGCAGTCCCGCGCTCCACCTCCCCCTACTCCTCATTCCTTGATTCCGCTCCGTCCGCGTCTCCGTTTCGACGCGCGTCTCGTGCGTTTCGTGCTCCGCGCGCGCCCCTCACGGCTCCATTGGAGGTGCTCGCGGCGTGGTGCCGCCACGTTCATTTCGGCACGACTCTCGCGTGTTTCGCGCCCCGCAAGGAACTCCAGTTACAACCCCACTGAGGGTGCTCGCATGGCGCCGCCGCGGCCAATTTGGCGCACCCCTCGCGCTGGCGCAATCCTCTTGGGGCCCTCTTGGGAACCTTGTCGGACGTTTTTGGATGCGCTTCAGGGCTCTCGTGAAGTCCTTCTGAAACCCTTCCGATGTCACGAGGGGCTCCTGACATGCCCCCAGGAAGCCTCCTGGAGGGACACTGGGAGAGGCCCTAAAAGAGGCCCAGGATAGCGAAGGCCAGAGTCGCATAGACGCACGGGTCCCTTTGAAGACCCACTGGGGACCCCGAGGAGGGGCCCCGTTCGAGCGCGGACCCCCATCCTCCAACACGCCCCCATAGCCCCCACGAGTTTCCAGCCCGGCGCCTCCCGCATTCATGACGAGCGCCTCCCGTTTTCAGAACGAGCTATGGGTATAGGGGGTAAGTTGGAGGACCCCGAGGGTGGCTCCCGTTCGAGCGCGGACCCCCATCCTCCAACACGCCCCCATAGTTCCCCCGGATTTCCGACCCCGCGATTTGCAAATCGGGACTTTGCGGTTCGCAACCTGCAGCGGCGCCACGCACGTATTTTTGGACACGGGGTTGAGCACGCCGGCGAGCTGGACGGACAACTCCATGCCGACTTTCGTCGCATGTGGGCCGGCCAAGCTCGCGAATCGGGCCTCCCGCATGGCTCCACGCGAAGCTTCCAGTACCTCCAGAGCTCGCGGGCAGTGTGTCGGTAGTTATCCGGGTCACAGATGCAGCATGGGGCCGCTTCGGGCCGGTTCGGGTCGGTTCGGCAGCGGGCCGGTCGGTTGCAGCGGTTCGGGTTCGGCGCCAGTTCGGTTTGAGCCGTCTCGGTTCTGCCTCGGGACGTTTCGGTTTCGGGCGGTCCGGTTCGGGTGATCGAAAGGTTGGCGCGCAGTGCGTTACAGGTGTTGCGTGTTGCGGCCGCGGATCGAACGAGCAGGAGGACTTGGGGGTCCGGGGGCCGGGTCGCCCACCCTCGAGCCGCGAGAGGTCCGGGGTCTGCTTTCTGGAGGAATGGGTCTTAAGTGCAGGTCCGGGCCCCAGGTCCGGACCTCATGTCTGGACCTCAGGTCTGGGCCCCAGCTCCGGAGGCCCGAGAACGGCTCGCCGAGGCCTTCCGACGGGGGGCCGCCTCCGAGCTTTCTGGGGGGGGGGGGGGGGGCTCTTGAGATAAGGTGTTACTGTGGCCCGTTGGTTGTTAGTGCGGCCCAGTGGGTGTTAGTATGACCAGGGTTCCTCCGTAGGGTATTAATCAATTGAGTACGGTGAAGGGGGGGGTCTCCAAAGAGCCTCCTCCCACCCCCTTCCTTCACCGAAGAGCCTCTCGGAAGAGCCTCTGGGGCTGTCCGAAGACCCTCTGGGGCTCTCCGAAGAGCCTTTTCGAGCCGCCGAAGAGCCTCTTGGAGCCGCTGAAGAGCCTCTTGGGCTCTCCGAAGAGCCTCTCGAAACTCCCTGCATGTCGCTTTTCGTTGCAGCCAGGTCTCCGTTTTGAGCCTGCGTGCTGGGCTACGTTCCGTGTGGCGTGTTGCGTATCGGGGCAGCTAAGCCCAGGAGTCCACGACAGCGTCCCCCAGAGGTCTCCAAGGAACCCTCCAGAGGCCTCCAAGGAGCCCTCCAGAGCCTCCCATTCCTCCGCACTCCATCGCCCTCCTTGGCACTTGTGATTTCTGGGGGAAAGACCCAGGATATGTATCTAGCACGCTTGTGTACATGTGTGTATCAAGCGCCGGCGCTTGGGCTCGAGAGAAAGGCGCTTCCCTTCTCCCACTGCAGAAGCGACGGGTCGAGGGAGCGATAGCGGCTAGGAGCTATTCGATCGAGTTCTCTTTCGAGATTCCCGCCGACGGTATCGACACGTTCGAGCGGGAGAGTTTCGACCAGAAACGAGGTTGGCAGCGGAGCTTGTGGTTGGCCCCACGATCTTCATTATAACGATTATCAAGATAGTCTACACGGACACGGACTAGCCATCCAGAGAGATGACAGAGCATCACAACAGTGCAGTGGATCCAAGAATCCCGGTGCTGAAGGGCGAGACCCTCAAGGATTTCACGAGGTACAAGCGCGCCGTGCAGGCGGCGGAGCTGAGCTGCGAGACGGAGGATCAACTACAAGCGCTCGGCCCCAAGCTGTATAGGAACCTGCTCGGCGCGGACAACAGCATCAGCGTGCTCATCGAGCAGACGGACCCCAAGGACTATGCCAAGAAGGAGGGGGCCCGCGCGCTGCTGGCATACCTAGAGGCACAGCGCTTCGCCAAGAGCAGTTTTCGGGAGCTGCCGAAGGCATTCGACGCCTTCTTCGATCAGACGCACTTCGAGCGGAAAGGTGAGGAACCCATGGCGGCGTTCTGTACGGCCATGGAGG